AATTCCGTTCTGAAAAGACTGTGCCTGCTGACAGGGTAGGAGGATAGGTGGAGATAAAAAGCGAGGATAAGGATGAAAATGAAAAAGAAGACGGGGTGGGGGCAAGGGAGATGGGGAATGGGGCGGTAGGATAACTTTCGGGAGGCAAACAAGAGGAGAACACAATAAATAATAATAATAATAATAATAATAATAATAATAATAATAATAATGATGATGATGATGATGATGATGATGATGATGATGATGATGATGATGATGATGATGATGATGATGATGATGATGATGATGATGATGATGAAAAGGTCTAGGAAGAAGGCGAATAAGAAGAGTAAGATGATGGTGGTGGTGATGGTGGAGGAGGAGGAGGAGGAGGAGGAGAGTAAGGAAACGAGGACGATGCATCTAATGAGCTAAAGAACAATGACAAAACAAGAGGAAGGAGGATAACGGTTACGAGGAAGCGATGGATGAGAAGATGTTTCAGGAAGGTGTTCAGGCAGCCGAGGAAGACTGAGACGCAAACTAGAAATTATGCGGTTTGCAAGGAGAGATTGGGATGGAGAGGCAGTAGAGGAGAGAGGGAGGGGAGCGGAAACATTAGTGAATGTACTGTGAGGAGAGGAATATGATAATGGAGCTGCGGGAGAAGGAGAAGTAGGATCAAGAAGGGAGTCACGAGACTTGCAGGCAGGAGGATGGGGGTGACGTAGATGGGAGAAGGGCGTTGGAAGAGAGCTCATTATCGATACAAGCGAAGATGCGAGTTCCAGGAACTAGTTGACCAGAAGAAGAAGAAGAAGAAGAAGAAGAAGAAGAAGAAGGAGCGACCGCTGGAACAAGGGCTTTATTCGCTTGACGTCTCAGATTCTCACTTGAATCCATAATCAGAGATAGTGGCAGAAAAGGATGGCTCGTGCACCGGAAGTTGTAGTATTTATAGGATGCAGTCTCTATGCTATCGCATATCGATAGCAATTAACCGCGATCCCCTTCATCAAGAATTGTGGCCCGCTGGCTCGCTAATGGCTTCATGGCCGGCATGCAAGTTGTTAATTGCTTAAATCTCATCGTCCGTGTTGGATGCTGGCGTGATGATTGCTCGGCCATCTGGCTCACCGGCTTGTGCGCTCCCCGAGTGGTCAATTGCTTTGGCCAGTCTATGCCTCAGGACAGAATATGGAGTGGGGATGTCGTTGCACTTGTTGATAGACTGAGGTCCCGTGAACCATGACTCAAGCAACTCGCGGCTCACGCGATTATCCCCTCTCGCGAGAATTTCGGCCTCATCGAACTTGAATGTGTGGCCGGGTCTCGTCGAATGGGCCGCGACCTGAGAGTTGGCGTCATTTCTCCGTACCGAAGCCGCGTGTTCGGCAATTCGCGTTCGGAGCCGTCTTTCAGTTTCTCCGACGTAGTTGCTTTGTCCGCAACTGCACCAGGTCCGGTAAGCGACTCCAGATGTTTCCTGCCGTGGCAGTGGGTCTTTTGGTCTCATTACCTGACGTCTTATGGCGACCTCCCGTCTGTGTGCAACTCCAACCCCAAGTGATGCGAGAAGGCGACTAACGGTCTCGGAGACGTTCTTGATGTACGGGATCGCTCGCCAGAATTTGGGATCGGCACGATTTTGTCGCTCGTCTCGTTTGCGGATGCACCGGTTGACGAAGTTGCGTGAGTAACCATTTTCTCTGAAAACCCGTCGAAGATATTGGGATTCGGCAATCTTGTCTTTCGGTTCACTGCAGTGCGTCTCAATACGCCGAAATAGCGTTCTTACGCAATTGCGTTTGTGGCTGATTGGGTGATTACTGCTGAAGTTCAGTAGCTGCGTCATGTTCGTCGCTTTTCTGAACACTTTGGCCTTTAAGCCACCACAATCTTTGCGACAGATGAGGACATCAAGGAATGCCAGCTGCTTATTTTCTTCCTCTTCCCTCGTAAATTGTATATCCGGAAAGACGCTGTTGAGACGTTATTTGAACGTTAGCACCTGATCCCGTTCGATTACGACGAAGGTATCGTCCAAATACCGAGCCCAGAATTTCGGTCTGTGGTGTTGGAAGACCAGCGACTCTAACCGCTGTAGGACCGCCTCGGCGTTGAATCCCGAAATCGGCGAGCCCATTGGTGTTCGTTTCACCTGCTCGTAGACTGTTCCGTCAAACGTGAAGTACGTCCTGAGACAGAACTTTAGGAGCTGAAGGACTTGCGTATGTCCGAGACGATTCTCCGTTTCATTGTACTTGTTTCGTAGGAGTAGTTGGACGGTCTCGATTGCCAGATCCTGGGGGATAGAAGTAAAGCGGGAAGTGACATCAAAAGATACCATGACCTCATTTGGCAAGAGACTTACTCCTTTAAGCTTCTCCAGGCATTGTGTGGACGAACAGACTGTGGTGTCCGAATCAGCGGTCAGAAATTTGAGGCGCCGAAACAGCCATTTTGCCAGTCGGTACGTTGGAGAGGGCTCATCTTTGAACCCACAGAAGAAATGCACCCTGTCTCCTATCGGAGCAGCCATGCGGAAACTACAGCCCGCCTATGAGAAATATTTGTAGTTATATAGTTCTCAAGTCTTCTACTTCTCAATGCACACCAGTGACAACACAGGGTCCCGGGGACTGGACCTTGGGCGCGTCGACTGGCTTAACATCCCAGTCTTAGCAAATAAAAGCCGTTCTCTAATTAGTTTTCTACTTAAATATGGCTTAATCATGGCCTTCCGCCGCTGCAGTTCAAATTCCTTCATCCTTTTTCTAATGATGTTCATAGAAAACATCGGCAGATGTTCCCGCTGAATGGCCTCAATGGGCATGTAATGAAACTTTTTTAATGTACGACGAATAAAATCGTCGTCTTGCTTACTTGTGGACCGTTTTGGTCCCCCTATCTCATTTCTAGGAACAGTTTTATCATTAATAATGCGCCACAGAGTGACCTTGCTAATATTGAAAATACTAGCTAACGACTCACGCGGGATTCCTTCCGCCGCTAATTTTCGAATGCGCTGGAAGTCAACTTCGGATAAGTATTGTTTAGACATAGTTATCGTTTGGCGTGGCAGAGCAAAGTGACGGCATGTCGCGCGAACTCAATATATATTCGTTTACGACACGCATTTTCAGTCTGGTAAAACAATCACACTGATAACATTTTTTATTTCGGTATTTTGAAACATAAAACTTTACGAATTTGTAAAATAGAATTTTTAGATAAAGAATCGCACGTTATTTCCTGAACACAATAAGAAATAATTTATCTGCATTTCCCTGATTTTGTCGATATTGAAATTTAATTTTTTCTTTTTGTTCGAAAGTTTATTAAAAAATTTCGTCCTTTTATTAATCTTCTTAAACAGATTAATAAGGTTACACAAAGAATTTCGATCCGAAAGCTTTAATAGCGTAGAAAACTGCTTGAATATCAGGAATCCTCCGATTTCGCCTTAATCCGGCCCGTTTTCTATTTAATATACGGATCCGTATCAAACTTTCCTTCAGAAAACGGTCTTTTCGTCCTTATTTCAACTAAATAAACACAAATAACGACACCAAAAATACACTACATTGTCCACTATAATTTTGACCTCGGCATTTCATGAGTTAGCACAGGTACTGTAGATACGCATGTGCTGGTTCATTACACCAGTCAAACCATAGTCGCATACTCATATTCATGAAAGTTCGGAGTCCAGAGCCCAGAGAGACTACGTTGGGGATCCGTGACCTACATTAATTTACCACAAAATCATAGCCAACACGCCAAGCTGTGGCAGACGGTTTCAACCAGGCGTCAGGTATCATCGAAATTGCCTCTTTGGCGGTTGAAGCACGGCTTTGTCTCCTGTGGGAAGAAGTGAAATAAGCAGTAAAGCGTAGGAAGGGGAAGAGGATGAGATGTGGAAGGGGGAAAGGAAGAAGGGCAATAGGCATGTTAGGAGGGGGTGGGGAAGGCGGAGGAGGAGGAGGAGGAGGAGGAGGAGGAGGAGGAGGAAACAAAGAATGATGTTCAGGTAAGGAAGGCATGGTTCGGAGAAAGACTGTGAGGCAAACTGTGAACGATGCGGTTGTAAGGCGGACAATGGAAGGAGAGGGAGAACGGACCGTAGGGCGAAAACAAAATTGGGAGTGGTGATTACGATGGTGGTAGCGATGGTCGAGTTGATGATGACCCGTACAACGGGCCGGACGGGAGACGCGCCCGACCAACATGGTGCCATATTAATGCACAGCACTCGTTAATAAGTCTGCGCATTCATAACAAACACCTGGGCGCAGGCGAACATGGGAGCTAAGAAGAAGGAGGTCTCGATGAGATTTCCAGCACAGGTTAACCACAAGCGGAGCCGAACCATTGACTGCACCCCTAAGACTAAACCCCGCCATGCAGTATGAGTGCGGTGAAGCCGTCTCTTGACGGCTACCCCCGCAAATGATCGCTAGCGGACTAAACTGCAGCCGGCCCTGATCGCAAGGGCGGAAAGTAAGCACTCCGGGTCTGACTGGCGTATGAGACGCCTTGCTGTTGTAGTCTGAACCCAAGAGGTGGTAAGTGCGCGATGTGGTAGGTGAAGTGCGCCCAGGGCAAACCCAACAGTGTCGAAGCTTGGGGGGGGGGTCCTAGTGCCTTAAACTGGAAGTGCAGGCAAGGATCGCTAACTGGCCATGGCGGTGTTAACCAGGCGTTTCAGCCAAACCCCGGAGACCAAATACAACCCCGATGTTCGTTAAGGGGGGGG